CGAGTTGTTGGTAAATTTTCTCTATTGCGCTCCACTTTTGCAACAAAGCCATATTTTTTAATTTTCATGTGAAACTGCACCTACGAAAAGTTCTCAGCTAAGCTAGCTTGAATAAAAGATTTCAGAACTCTTGGCCAAACTCTCTTCGAGATATAGAACTATCAAGATACACATTCTTTTTCATCAAAAATATATATAGTATGCAGTTTTTGAAAGCTTCGTATTTCGTAGAGAGTTTGTCGAAAAGTTCTGAAATTTTTTATAGAAGCTAGCCTAGCTGAGGCTTTATGTAGGCATAGTTTTAGATGAAAATTCAAGAATATAGCTTTGCTGCAAAAGTGGAACACTATAGAGAAAATTTACTAAAAACTAGATATCTCGGCAGGAACACGCCAGAAATCTGAACTTATTTTTTTATGGTAGACATAGTTCACTAAGGGCTACAAGATGCGCGAAATTCCGACTGAAAAGCATTCCGACACCTGGGAAAATTCTCTTGTTAGTTCAAAACTTTTGAATTTTGTAAGGAAGTTATTCTAGTTTAGTTATCTATATGCACAAATCTTCAGATCAAGATTCAAAAATACGAGTTTTTCGAAAACCTGGTATCTCTAGAATATAGACATACTAAAAAATTCAATAGCTTTGTCATGTATCAATAGAAATGAAAATTCTTTTAGGATTTTTATTAGAACATTCTCTAGTATCTATAGACAAAAAATCATTGAAATTCACAAAAATTTCTCACTACTGATGAACAAAGATAGACATAACATTTCTACGTTCATACTCAAAAAGAGCATCCTAACCCATAGCTTTTATTTCGTCGGAAATACTTTCTAGCCAGGTTAAAAGTGAATAAACATGTTTTCTAAAAACTTTCTGATAGTTTGTTGTAATTAAACTTATTTAGATATTAAAAAATTAATAATTGACAATATTGTTCGTCTATCTGAAAATACTTTAATTGTATATATTAATCGATATGATTTATCAACAATAAAAATAATTTATTGCATTGAACAAATGATTGATGATAGTTTAAAACTTTGTTCAATATCAAATACATTTAATCAACTTATTCCTGGATCAATTTATAATATATCTGTTAGTATTCATCGAAATCCATTTCAAAATACTTTCATTTGGAAAAAACAAACAATATATAAACTTGTTAATACAAGTAAGTTCAAATATCCTATATTTTAATTATTATTATTATTATTATTATTAAAAGATCCATCTCCATTACGAATTCGTACTTGGAAATGGAATGAATATTGTGCTGCAGAATTAATAAATACATTTTTAATATCATATTCAACAGAATGTATATTAAATGATAAAATTTTTAATTGTAATCAACTTCGATGTGGTTGTCGATATCGATTTCATATTTTATTTAATCAAACAAATATTAATTCATTATGTTCAAAATCTCAATGTGATATTCAATTCA